AAATCCTAATGCAGTCTGTTTCAAGTAATGTTTGTACCTCAGGATACAAAGTTAAGGTTTGAAGACCCATGTAAAGAGATGCTTCTAAAGATTGATGAGCATACATGTTTTGCTTTGCAGAATCTGCGTGAGTCTAGAGAAACTGCCAGTGGGGGAGAAACGTGTATTACAAGGAAGGTGCTCAAGACTCTAACCCTCACCACTGTGGAGGCTAGCCAGTAAAACCCGTCAGAGCTGGAGCAGTCTCCTCCTCTGGGGTGGGGTGGTGTGGGGTGGGAATCCCCGGCCCCCCAGGTGATTGGATGAGGGTCATCCACATTAGGGAGGCAACCTGCTTTACCAGTCTCCCGATCCAAATGCTAATCTCATCCAGAATCACCCAGAAGGATGTTCGGCTCAATATTTGGGAACTCTGTGCATGGATGGCCCAGTCAGCCTGAACATGAAATCAACCACGTGTCCATCTCTTGTCAAGTTGGCACCCATATGCATTTCCTTAACTCAGGCTTAATCTTCAAGTGAAGACAAGAGCAAGGTCATAGCCACCTAACATGATACCACTATCCTACAGACAACCAAAAGCACACTAGCTGCTTGCCTAGTGGAGGTCACGTTCCCCTGTGATACTTACGGTTCTACTTGATACGGGGTAACTTAATAGGCAGTATGTGTATGTTACATAAGAGGGAAGAAAACTGATACGTGCTTAACTATAACATACATAGACTATATGTGACAAATACTGGTCACAAAATAAGCAGGAAATACTCCAAGCATTGATGGTCCTCTTTCCTGTAACTGATTCTGTGGACACAACCACTTTCTTCCACTGCCCATTCTGTGGTCCTGTGCCTGCCTTAAGCAAGCACCTCACTGGTTGTGGTTCTTTCTGTTGAGGTAAAGTAAAAAAGAAGTCTATAGCACATTTGATTAACAAGTGTCTTAAGATTTATTTCTAAAGTATAAAAGTATGATCAGTATAATCCAAAAGTAATAACACATGCTGGGTTTAAGAATTTGAAAATGGGAGTGAGGTGTGAGGAGGAGGAGGTCTTGCCCCTCCGCCCCTAGTTGGAGCCCCATGGGAGCGTTGTAGCACGTTCTGTATAGTTAGGATGCGCACAGGCCTCCCTGCCTCTCTCCAGCTCTGCTAGCCAGGAGCACTTCCAAGTCTGCATTTCACAGGCTTGCTCGCCTCTGCGTGGTTATTCTCACATCAGTAACAGTTGCACACTCAGCAGCTTCGTTCTGCGTTTGGGAGAGTTGAGTTCCCTGACGTAGAATTGCTGGGTTGAAGGTTTTTATAATAAAAATATTGGTCTTATTTTGGGGGCTGAAGGTTTTAAAAGCTTGATACATACTTCTAGATTGCTTTTCAAAACTACAGAAAGCGGCGCGTGATAAGTAGCTCATCCTTGAAATAAGGACTTGTCTGATCCCAAGTGGCAACTTTTAACTATATATAGTTATAAGTATTGAAATTCTTTTAATGTTTCTTAACACTGTTTGTATTATAAATGAGACTTCGTTTTTAGGGTAACTTGTGGTTTTAATATTTGAAATTATAGGAGTTAAAATTCAGTGAATACCTGAATTGTAAAAAATTATATTTAAGCTATAAAATGTCAGTAGAGAAATAAACAAGATAAAGATTTTTTTCATACAAGAAAATGGAACTGAAAAGCGTTGGCTTTCTCATAACATACTTACTCAACCAGCTTTTGAGGTAGCTTCTGTAGATGATGTTTATAATTATGAATGTCCTCGTCTTAATTTAGCCTGGAATTGAAACCAGTTAAAATAACTTGGCTAGTACTGCTATCACTCAGACACTGACTGGTTCAAGATGCATCCAAAAGCTCAATGCCTTGTGGACAACTTCTAAGGGTTTAGTTGCCATGGATTTAAAGAAATTGTGACTGAACCAATCTGTTAACATTGATAAATGGGAAATTGCAGAAGGATATAGATGTTGTAGAGTGTGTAAAAGTAACTTGGTTTAGGGACTCAGGTATGGACAGTGAGACTGGCCACACGAGTGCCTTTCTTTGGATCTCACTGTCACACTCTTACCCAGGTTGGAGTGCAGTGGCTGTTGACAGGTGTGATCATAGCTCCCTGCAACCATGGATTTCTGGGCTCAGCAGTTCTGCCTCAACTTCCCAAGAAGCTGGGACTAAAGATGTATACCACCACACCTGGCTAATTTTTAAATTTATTGTAGAGAAGGGGTCTTGTTACGTTGCCTAGGTTGGTCTTGAACTCCTGACCTCCAGGGATGTCTCCTGTCTTGGCCTCCTTAGGAGCTGAAACTACAGATATATGCTAATGTCCTCAATTTATGGTAATGCAGAAATGCCTTTTGTTTTTGAGATGGACTCATGTTCTCTTGCCCAGGCTGCAGTGCAGTGGCGCGATCTCAGCTCACTGTATCCTCCACCTCTGGGATTCAGGCAGTTTTCGTGCCTCAGCCTCCTGGGTAGCTGAGACTGCAGGTGCCCATCACCACTCCTGGCTAACTTTTTTTGTATTTTTAGTACAAAATGTTGGCCAGGCTGGTCTCAAAACTCCTGACCTCAAGTGATCTGCCTGCTTCGAAGTGCGGGGATTATAGGCGTGAGCTACTGTGGCCTCCTGGAAATGCTTTTTAAGGATCACCTCCTAGGGGAGATGAAGAGAGTTACCGTAGCATAATCAGTTTTAACTGTATTTGTAATGTTTGTTTCTTTACCTGGGGGGATATATTGTAGATATGTCAGATAACATATGTGACCCAGTGGTGTGCAGGCTATGGCTATAAAGTAGAAAGTTACTAAATAGAATGCTTGGATTTTATTGGAATTGGATGCAGTTTTTGTGTCCTAGAGAAATTCACAAAATGTTCCTAGTTTTAGATACAAGGTTATGATTTAACATCTTTGCTTTTGTTCTTTCTCGTCTTTGAGTAGAACAGTGGGGGACAGTAAGGTCTGTTTGTAAAGTACCTATGACCGTCTTCTTATTTTTATGGGTGGGGGGCATTGACTGTGGAATGTGGGCGGTAACTTGCAGTCAGTAACAGTTTGAGTAACTTCTTGTTGGCATCCCCGTTCTGCCATTCCTCCTCTAGGTCTCCACCTCTCGCTGGCTTGTGGGCGGAGGGGCAGATTGGCGCATGGGGTGTCCGGGCACTGGTCGTGCATGCCTTCTTCCTCTTCTGTCTTCCAAAAAGTAACCAGTGACCAGCTCTCCCAGTGTTTCTTTCTTTGCGACTCAATGTCTTGGGCTTGGCATTGGGTAAAGCCGACTGGCCAGTTTCATTCCGACGAGCTTTATGATAGTCTGGTGTGGACCTCTGTCCTCTCTGCTATGCAGAAGCTTCCTCAGCCTTTGCTCCTCACTATGTACTATTTGCTGGTCCTGGGGGTACCCAGCATCTTAGGGTTTTGACTGCCCACCTGTACGTCGATCCTTTTTTTTTTTTTTTTTTTTTTTGAGACGGAGTCTCGCTCTGTCGCCCGGGCTGGAGTGCAGTGGCCGGATCTCAGCTCACTGCAAGCTCCGCCTCCCGGGTTTACGCCATTCTCCTGCCTCAGCCTCCCAAGTAACTGGGACTACAGGCGCCCGCCACCTCGCCCGGCTAGTTTTTTTTTTTTTTTGTATTTTTTATTAGAGACGGGGTTTCACCGTGTTAGCCAGGATGGTCTCGATCTCCTGACCTCGTGATCCGCCCGTCTCGGCCTCCCAAAGCGTTGGGATTACAGGCTTGAGCCACCGCGCCCGGCCTGAATTTTCTTTAGTAGGGACAAAGTCTTGCTATGTTGCCCAGCCTGGATTCAAACTCCTGAGCCCAAGGAATCCTCCCACTCAGCCTCCAGAGTAGCTGGATCAAGTCACTCTTGTTCATAACCTCAGTTGCTTCATGAGTCTCGATTTCTGCCTAATTTCAGTGCTTATTGTTGTATCCTTGTGTGCTGCGGTATTTATTGTTAACCTTTGTGACTCGAATGTATCCACTCCCTTCTTTGGTCACTCTGGCCTGCAAATAGGCCATATTAATTCTTAGTTGGTTGTGGCTTGCCTTTGTCTTTATACCTTGCATGTGTTTATGTCTTAATGCATCTATTAGGATTCCTTGCTTTTATCACAGGTTTCCCATGTTTTCTGAAAAAATTACAGTAATTAATGCAGCACCCAGGTAAATTAAAAAGCTTTGTATACTTTATGAATTATTAGTAAGTATGCATTGATTGATAACACCAACGGAGGAAAACAAAACAGTCAGTTCTGATCTTGATTTTCAGGAGCATTTTGTGTTTCCACTTGGCAGCGTGATGCTTCCTCACGTTGGTGATTTTCTGTTGAGACACCTTCAGGCGTAATCTTATGTCTGCTGGTTAACATTTGTTCAGAATTGATTTCAGCTAATCCTTAAAAGTTTTTTGAGACATCACACTTAGAATGAAAGGAATTTCCTTTGCCGAGGTTCATCAGGTATTTACACTTAGTTTACATGGCCACACCATTCCTCTTCTCTCTCTGTGTGTGTATGTGCATGTTAGGGTAATCCATTTTTCTGTTTGTTTCTGAATTGCTTTGGAGAAGGCAACTCAGACTCCCAAGGAATACAACAGCCTCAGTGTAAAGCTTTTCTCACTTTTCCAGTGGTCATAGCAGGAATAGCATCTAACAGGACCTCAGATCAGTGATGTGAAAAGAGCTGAGTTTGAAGTGCATATTGATGCTCCATAAAGAATGTGTATATGTGCTGTTTTTAAATTAAGTCTGGTAATTTATTTGATATAAGGTATTGTAGTTTTAGTTGAATTAAACAGTTGGTGAAACTGTTGGTGAGGTAGTCTTTCAGTTACTCTGTAGATAAGCTCTTTTGTTACAACCTCGTCTTAAGCTTTTTGTTCCTGAATATGTTACAAACATCTATTTTCTCTTACTGTAGCTGTCACATGAGGAAAAAAACTTGAAAAAAAGATTTCATAGTGTGTGTTTATGTTTGATTTTAGAAGACCCTTTTGAGGACTTCTTTGGGAATCGAAGGGGTCCCCGAGGAAGCAGAAGCCGAGGGACGGGGTCGTTTTTCTCCGCGTTCAGTGGATTCCCGTCTTTTGGAAGTGGATTTTCTTCTTTTGATACAGGTATTAAATCCCTAGGTTTAATTTCTGTTATCTTAACAGTGGTTAGTACTTATAAGCATAATACTCTTTTAGAGTAATTTAAAATATGTGCATTGCTTTCGTAGAATAGCATTGTAGATTTGCCAGCTTTTTTTGGTATACAAGTCTATGCTTAATAACCTACATTTTCTCCTAATCTTCCTAAGAATGTTGTACTTGGAAATCTCTTAATATAATAATCAAGGCCAGAATGTAATGAAATTCTTAGTTAAAAAGGGGCAAGGTATGTTCTGTGTCAGTAGGTGGAAAGTAACGCACTTGGAAAATCTCACTAACCTTCATGCTGTCTAACCTCCTTTGCAGTTAAAACAAAAGTGCGCAAATAGGTAGCATCCCAGGAGTGTCCCACTGGATGGAATCGAAGGCTAGGCCTTAACACCAGCCCAGGCCAGGCTCACTCACTAGTGAAGTGTCAGCCTCGCTCACGTAGCTCTTCATAAGTGGAAACATAGCTTATAGACTGGAGTAATATGAATATGTATATAAACACACATTATATACCTGTGAGTTTAGCCAGAAGAATTAGCATTCCATTTTTCTCTGAAGCTTACCCAGTTTCTCTTCACAGAGGAGCTCTTTTTTTTTTTTTTTTTTAAATTTAAAAAGACAGGGTCTCACTTTTAATAAGTGCCACTCTTAGTGTAGTGGCATGGTCTCGGCTCACTGCAGCCTCCTGCCTCCTGGGTTCGAGTGATTCTTGTGCCTCAGCCTTCTGAGTAGCTGGGATTACAGGTGTGCACCAGCAGGCTCAGCTAATTTTTGTATTTTTAATGGAGACAGGGTTTTTGCCATGTTGGCCAGGCTGGTCTTGAACTGACCTCAGGTGATCCACCTGCCCTGGCCTCCCAGAGTGCTGGGATCACAGGCATGAGCCACCACTCCTGGCCTGCAGCTGCTGTTTTGATTCTCTCATTTTTATTTTTAAGCCTCCATGGTAAGAATTGGGAGAGCTTGTTACATGGGGTTCCTTCATAATGGTCAGAATTTTATTTTCTTTTAACATTGTGCTCATGCCATCTAGGTAAGTAGTGAATTGTGCTTGATTGGACCTCAGTTTTGATGTGCTTTCCCTCAACAGATCCTCTCTTTAGATACCATGGAATATGCTGACCACAGGTTAAGAAAACTAGTTAAAAATACCATGTAAATAGTCCTTTTTAAAAGTAATCAGTGGCTCCTGTGTGTGTGTGTGTAGTGGGGGTGTAAGCCTTCTCCACTTCTGAGGTGCCTTACAGAGTATCACAAGAATAAGTACTTAGCGAGGCTTGATCTAGACCGTTGCAGTGGTCACCAGCCACGTGTGGGTCCTGAGCCCTGGAGGCCTGGCTGCTCCAAATGGAGATCAGCGGGAGTGTGAAACAGTCATTGGGTTTCAAAGATGGAACATGGAAAACAGTATAAAGTATCACAAACAATTTGATTTTTTGTATTTCCAATTGAAATATTTTGGATATACTGTATTAAATAAAATACTGCAATTAATTTCACTAGTTTCTGCTTTTCAGTGAAGTCGTTAGAAAAGGTAAACTTAACATACCTGGCTCACATATTTCTTCAGTACGCCACTAGCACTGGACAGTATCTGGCCTTAGATGATTGAATCATGTTCAGAGGTATGCGTCATTTGTGTTAATGTGAGCATTTTGGAAGCAGGACAAGTATTAAGCTCTAACCAGTAGACCAGCTTTAATATAAAAAAATAGGTTTGCTTTAGTGTGACTTGTGAAATTTTTCGGTGTCCGCACTGATACAGTGTCCATAATGTATAATTGAGAATGGTGTCCATGAACCGTAGAGACATAGGTTTTTCAGATGGATGCTTGTAGTATTCTTTCTACAGTTATTTTAGTTTTTTAATAATTTAGATTCTTATCCCCTGTGGTTCTTTGGTAAAGAGAAAGGAAGCCGGTTAGGTTTGCTGTTCTGCGGTGGTGAGGACATTCTGTTCTTGTGGGGTAAGGGTGTCCATCACAGTCCGTGGAGTTTACAAGCCATGCCATAGCAAACAGAGCTTTGATACTGAGGCTGCTCTGCTGGTTGGAGCTTAATACCGGTCCCGGTTCCAGAATGTTCACGTTAACACAACGCATGTGCTGCGTGGTGCCCGGCAGACCACCCACAAGCCGGGGTGGTCTTTGCCATGTCAGAAAGGCTGCTCATGTCCAGTGAAGCTCTGCATGAGGAGAGGGTGAGAGGCTGCACTCTCGCGTTCCCCTCGAGTCCCCACTGAGGGATTTGAGAGAGTCTTTCCCCCTGGGCACCCCAGCACTTCGGCTGAGGCCTTGCTAGTTGCATGGTTTATTATTCATTGGTTCTACGTCTTAACATTAAACAGTCTGCTACTGAATTTTCAGACTCTTGTCTTTGCATTAGTAGTTGACATATTTCTCTAAGCATTTTTCTTTTCTGTTTTCCTGTAGGATTTACTTCATTTGGGTCACTAGGTCATGGGGGCCTCACTTCATTCTCTTCCACGTCATTTGGTGGTGGTGGCATGGGCAACTTCAAATCGATATCAACTTCAACTAAAATGGTTAATGGCAGAAAAATCACTACAAAGAGGTACTGTGCTAATCTGCATTTCATATTTTTAGTAAGCGGGCATGATGTTTCACTGGTGCCATGCTGCACGTCTCCCAGTGTGAAGCAGAGCTTGTTGTGTGCTGCATCTGGCACCATGAAAATCTTCTCTCCAAATTCATTAATTAAAGCTCTTCCTCTTAAATTTTACTTAACTGTTGATTAGAGGGGATCTTTAATTTAAATAAAAGATAAGTTGTAAATAAAAGATAATAATTTAAGTGTAACAAGTTTCTGCAGCTTTGTTAAGATGACTGAATGGAGAATTTTTAATAGTAAAGCTTTTACTGTTTTATAGCCTCTGCTTGTATTTAGCATCCACCTGTACAGTATTTGAGACAATTTATTTTGTCAGGTTAATTCTGTTTTAGGAAAGGAAGACGTATTGTTCACAGGTTGGCTTCAGCCGTGTTTTTACAGCCTGAAAATTACTTATATTCATGGTGTATTTCAGTAATGTCCTTAAAAAACTTAGTTACCCTCACACATGTATTTACTTTACCGGAAAGGTTTTTAAATGAATTTTTTTCCTACAGAATTGTCGAGAACGGTCAAGAAAGAGTAGAAGTTGAAGAAGACGGCCAGTTAAAGTCCTTAACAATAAATGGTAAGGAGCAGCTGCTGCGCTTGGATAACAAGTAATTCAACGCACGCGCTTAACAGAAATGTTAAACTATAACAAGCACCATTTGAGGATTAACAGGAACATTTTTTTGAAGATTTCAAACGAACTCGACTTTCAGTATAATTGTACCTAAAGTATTTATAAACAGCTCATCGGAGCCTCTATTTGTCATAGACTTTTGAGTTTATTGTTGGGACCACATAATAGGACCATTTTTTTTTTGTCTTTAAAATTGTTGTAAATCTCTGTATGCACTTTGCTTTTTTATTAAACGTACTCCAAGGTGAGTCTTGACTCTTTAGTGTAGGACAAGATTGTACACTAACACCAGCATGGACCTGCTTTTCATTGTGTCTGAAATGTGAGCCACGTAGTGTCGGCCTGCTGTGAAGTTAACATTACCAGGACGATTCTTCTACAGAAATAATTTCAATTTTTTTCAGTATTTAGTAGTGAAAGATATTAATGCATTAATGGTAATACATTTCTGGTTTAATATAAATTAAGGATGTTTTCTAGTTGTGCATGAATGCTGGCAACTTAGTAAGTTTTGACAATTGTTTAAATATGTAATGTTAAGCTTAGGTTTAAAAAAGTAAAGCTGGTAAACTGGGTCTTTGTCATTTGCTTTAAAAAAAAAAAAAGAAAATAAATGCGAATGTGTTGGTGCATTCTTCCTGAGTGGGATCTGGAGCTTTTTTGTGTCTGTGTATGATTTGTGCCTGGGCTTCTAGTGTCACTTTAATAGCGTTTCGTGCTATTATGCCGCACCTCAGTTACATGTAGACATTTTCTTCAGTATATTTGAAGTATATGAAGATTTTCATATTGTAAGTTGCGATTTAGCAATTGATCAAACATTTAATTATGGTAACATTTCTACAGGAGAGGGAAGAAACCATTGTATAATTTTTCATTCTTAAAGTATGTTCTAGGTTTTAGGATTTGATGTAAGATCACTTATGGAGCCGGGCACAGTAGCTCACTCCTGCAATCCTAGCACTTTGGGAGGCCTAGGCGGGTGGATCACCTGAGGTCAGGAGTTCGAGACTAGCCTGACCAGGATGGTGAAACCCCTGTCTCTACTGAAAAATTAGCTGGGCGTGGTGGCAGGTGCCTGTAATCCCAGCTACTTGGGAGGCTGAGGCAGGAGAATTGCTTGAACCTGGGAGGTGGAGGTTGCAGTGAGCCAAGATCATGCTATTGTACTCCAGTCTGGGAGGCAGAGCGAGACTTCATCTCAAAAAAAAAAAAAATCACTTCTGGACAGTATGCATGGGACAGTCATGGAATGATTTAGGAGTGAGCAAAATAAAGGTCTTTTGTTTCTCAGTTTGTAATACCTTTCATGATTGCCATTGGTAACTAGAATCCTAGCTGTAGTGAATATTGAACTAGATTTATACTGGATTTAAAACTGTTTTGTTTTGGAACTAAATAGTGTGAAAACTGCTAGAAGGACGGGCGGGTCCCTGACAAACAGCGCTTTCCATCTGTGCTGGCTTTGCAGGAGGGCATAGAGATTGCTCAGGTTATGCCAGAGCGTTTAAGGAACCTGATGTGCTGTTTCTGAAAATAAGTAAAAAATATTTTAAGGAATTTCATAGGAGCTCAAAAAAGCATAGCAACAGTTAAGTATTTGGGGACAGTTGAACTACAAGAAGAAGAAGGAGTAATGTGCTTGTCTGTTGTGTCGGAAATAACCCAGCACACGGCACTTCGTGTCTCTGGATAAGGTAGGTATGCAGTCATGGCAAGTGCGGGAAAGCGGGACAGCGCCCTGTAGTGTTGGAAATCCCACCTCACAACTAGCATTGTGGGATCATAGAGTGCGCTTTTGTTTATGCTATCAGGACGGGTGGCTTCTTTGTTACTAAATGAGAAATTCAAGTAGATATTTTGGACTTCAGGGTTTTATATTTTTCATAAGTGGGTGGGATGAGTCAGTGCAGCAGCCTTGAGACATCCAGGGATGTCCAGAAAGACCAGGAAAATGAAGACAAGTCTTGACCTGTAATTGTTAAACTAGGAAGCAGTTTGCTATAGCTTTGGTGCTGCAAAAGTTTAGAATACATTTGGTTGTTCTAGACTTCGTGGAGTGTTTCATGCAACTCTGGCTGTGAACAGCCTACTCAACATGGTGTTACAGGTAAAATATGTTTGACTCCTAAGAAATCTTTCTGGTGAAAACTTTTTTTGAGGGGGAGGGAGCATTCATTTGTACTTGGGAAGATTACTGTTTTTTTTTAAGTTTTGAGATAGTCTTGCTGTGTCATCCAGACTGGAGTGCAGTGGCGTGATCTTGGCTCACTGTAACCTCTGCCTCCGGGGTTCAAGCGGTTCTCCTACGTCAGCCTCCTGAGTAGCTGGGATTACAGGTGCCTGCCACCACACTCAGCTAATTTTTGTATTTTTAGTAGAGGTGGGATTTCACCATGTTGTCAGGGCTGGTCTGGAACTTTTGACCTCAAGTGATCCATCCACCTTGGCCTCCCAAAGTGCTGGACAGGCATGAGCCACTGCGCCTGGCTGAGAAAATTACTTTTATTCTGTTCTTCCGTTGATAGAAGTTTAATTTTATTAAGTTACTAATAGAAAACCTATTTGTTGCTGTCAAATCTTACACCTTTGATTTTTAAACCCTGTTAAGATTATTCCTAGAGAATTCAGTCTAAGTGTGCATGAGAGCAGCTTTGAAAAGTTAGGAAATGGCTTTGAGCATTGACAGCATCACTCAAGTAAATGATGACTTGGAATAAGAATAGCATTTGATTTAAATTAGTTTCTGATAAAGTCAACCGTCTCTTTACTTTCTGTAGTGTTAAGCGCCTTTGAAAACAGGAAGCCGAACGCTCCTAAACGGCACATGCCTGGTTGTGCACGGCCCCACATGGTCCCAGCCATTCCGGGATGTGCGTCTGCTGTCTTTGGTTTGTGCTCAATGTCCCTGTTTGAGAGTCTTAAGTTTTATTTTTAAAGTCTTTAATTTTTAAAAATACTTCAATAGCTTTTGGGGAGGTAAGTGGTTTTTAGTGACGTGGATGCATTATATTATAGTGTTGAATTCTGAGATGTCGGTGCTGCTGTCGCCTAAGCAGTGTATGTTGTACCCAAACTGTAGTTTTTTAATCGCTGTTTGGCATTCTTTTGTCTGGAAGGCTCAATAATCTGTGTTTTTGTCATCTCCTATTTTCCTATTCCTTGTAGTTCCCCAGCCCCCGTTGGTTTAATTCAGTGATGGATTATTCCTTATATCTCTATCCTTTATAAAATTTAAGCTTTTTAAACTCCAAAGATTCCAGGCTTGATTTTGGAAACTCAGGGTTTTAAATCATCTGAAAGATGTCAGTCAGTCTTGGCATCGTGGGTGACTCGCTTTTCCTCTTGGATGTCCTCCAGTAAGTAGCTTTTAGAAGTGGGTGGAGTTAGTGTCACCATTTGCTAAACTTACCTGTGCACCTGGCGTGCTGAAGTAAATGTTCCTTACAGTGTGGTAACGCTTGAGGAACATTGTGGGATGATTGTCTTTCCAATCCATTTTAGTTTCTGTTTGTTAATTAAAGCTTTAAAAATGCCTGCTTATCCTGTCTTGATTACCTTCTAGCCATCATTTCTCTTCAGGGAATACTGATCTTGTTTTAACCACTACGGAATGAATTAGAAACATTTTTATTTGCAGAGGATTCAACAGTAATAAATAATTGGCATATTCTCTGTTATTGATGGGCAGCGATGTTGAAATTTAGCCATTAGCATGTTCAGTAACAGAATGGAGGCAGATATTATTTCTGGAGGTTTTCAAGCACAAAATTAGTTGATATGAATACTTGATTTAGTGGGGTCTAGAGGGGGCTGAATTACATAACCCACTGCTCGTATTTTTAAAGATGAAAGTATGAGATCTTACCCTTTGGGGTCTTGGTTTCAAAGCCTTTGGATATGGTATTCCTAGCTGTTCTAGGGACGTGGGGGGAACTAGATGTAGGCCTTGGTACTAAAGTGTGACCAGTGGTTGAAATGGGGTAGACCGAAGTCTTTGGCTACGTTATTTCGTCTTCCTGTTTAAAAAGGTGAAAAGACGGAATGTCACAGCAGCTATTCCTGTGTTAGAAATCTAGATGTCACTGAGTTCCAGAGGCGGCAGAGTTTATGATTGGGCATCAGAAAGCCGGTCTTGGCTTCTGTGCTTTGGTCAGTATTTGCTGACTTTTGTGCAGGGTATCAGTCAGTGTCACGTAACTGTTCACTAAGGATTCGACTCTGAGCTTTGTGGCCTGGGCGAGTTGCAGACTCAGGGGTTGAGACCCCCGAATGCGCTTTGCCCTTTTCCCTGTACCCTGATAGGGAGAAGATTCCTGCCCTGGAGCGCAACTCCCACAGGAATGCGGGTCCTGTGAAGGCAGTAATTCTTGTCTGTCTTGCTACTGCTGTGTCCTGGCAGGTGTGCCCTGGAAGCATCTTGCTGCGGAAACCCCGATGGTGGTTGCCGTCCCACAGCCCTTGATTCAGAGATGCCCTGGACCCTGGCTGCCTGGAGAGTAGAGCAGGGCCTCACTCCTGCACCCCTCCTGCTGTGTGGCCTGCGGCCCAGCCTGCTGTTGGAAGCTTGCCATGTGGATCAGAAGGACCTGCGTCTTGGCTTACAAAGATTCTCCACTCCGGGGAGCCCTGACTAGCAAATGCCTGTGTAGTGTCGATGCCACAGTCTCGTCGGTGCACACTGCAGTTGCTAGCATAGTGTCCTTTTCTGCCCTGTTAGGTTGGTTTCTTTCTTAAACAGGGCAGCACTGTCATCCCGTTCCCCCACCTTGTCCTTCCTCTTCCCCCTAGCCGGTTACTGAACTGACTGCCGTTCAGGCACTGGTGGGAAATCACTCCCAGAACTTCCGGAACCATAGAGACTGGAGGTGTTCTGAAGGAGGCTTTGGTGCTGAAACATTGTTGCAGAAATGTGGGGTAGGGCCTCTTTCCCGCCGGTCTCA